CTGAGTGCTGTTGACTCCTCCAGGGTGATTGTACCTCGGTGCCAACTCAGGGGCTGAAAGAGCCACCCAGTGGAACGCCAGAGAGGCCTTCCAGTGTGAGTCTCACAGTGTGTCAACTCAAGGACTGAATGAGAAGGCAGCGGATCATCTTACAGGCTCATTCAGTGCGAGTGTCACAGACTGGAGGCTCAGGGACTGAAAGACCGTACCACTGGGGCAATCACCATCACCTCCGTGCTAGGTTGGTATGGGGGATGCTTGTGGGGCCCTCTGCACTTCTAAGAACCCCAGCCATGGCTAACATTAGACCAGGCCAGAAAAATAATTAGTGTTTCAAAAATACACAGCGACACCTAGCATTAAAAGGAGCCAGAGATTTTCCTCTTAATTTTAAGAACTACCAAGGCTAAAATTAGGCCAGACCATAAAACTATACAATCTTTTATCAAAGACTTGCCAAACCTAGCATTAAAAGTGTAGGGTTCTGTGTTAATGAAACTGACATATAGTTTGAGGGAATCTTCTACATGTCACTTTGGATTCACTTGCTGAAAGTGTATTGTTGATGAAGATCATATTCATTCTTCTTTTCCAATCCTCTTCCATTTTCACCATCAGCACTGCAGGTGACATCCGATTCTTGTCCTCTAAGGCTATGAAGTACATGCCTTTGAGATTAAAAAAAATCAACATTACTTCAGCTGCCATTGTAGTTTTACTACTAAAAATATACAATCCACTATGGTCACTATTACACATCATCAGTTAGTGAAGGCCATCCATCCCGCCTCCATATTGTAAAACCTGGAAGAATAAGAGACTCAACCAAAATTACCTCAGGTGTAGAAGGCCACATAACAGCCAAAGGCTCAGTGGGCCTAAGCTGCAGATATTTTCTTGCTCTCGTTTCTTCTTTCCTCTTTCGTTTCTTCCTCTCCTGTAGTGTCTCTTTCCAGGAACCAGGTATTTGGCTCCTTCCTCCCTTCAGTGTGTGAAGCTAGAAAGCTATAAAACCTTTGATTGATCAACAGCCACACCTAGCATTAATAATGGCTGCTGATATCTTCTTTCTGCTTCTAAGAACCATCGCCATGGCCAAAATTATGCCAGGCAAGACAAGTATAGAATCAGTCATCAATCAACAGCCACACCTAGCATTAATAATGGCTGCTGATATCTTCTTTCTGCTTCTAAGAACCATCGCCATGGCCAAATTATGCCAGGCAAGAAAAGTATAAAATGTATTAGCCATTAACAGCCCCACCTAATATTAAAATGGGCCGTTGAGCTCTTCTTTCTGGTTCTAAGAACCATCGCCATGGCCAAAATTATGCCAGGCAAGACAAGTATAAAATCTGTTTATCAATCAACAGCCACACCTAGTATTAAAAAGGGCCGCTGTGATCTTTCTGGTTCTAAGAACGATCGCCATGGCCAAATTACGCCAGACAAGACAAGCATAATATCGATTATCAATCAACAGCCACACCTAGCATTAATAGCGGCTGTTGAGGTCTTCTTCCTGGTTCTAAGAACCTTCGCCATGGCCAAAATTATGCCAGGCTAGCCAAGTTTAATATCGATTGCCAATCAACAGCCACACCTAGCATTAAGAAGGGCCGCTGTGATCTTTCTGCTTCTAAGACCCATCACCATGGCCAGAATTATGCCAGGCAAGACAAGTATAAATCTGTTATCAATCAACAGCCACACCTAGCATTAATAGTGGCTGTTGATATCTTCTTTCTGTTCTAAGAACCATCGCCATGGCCAAATTACGCCAGACAAGACAAGTATAAAATCTGTTTATCAATCAACAGCCACACCTAGCATTAATAATGGCTGTTGAGGTCTTCTTTCTGGTTCTAAGAACCATCGCCATGGCCAGAATTATGCCAGGCTAGCCAAGTTTAATATCGATTGCCAATCAACAGCCACACCTAGCATTAAGAAGGGCCGCTGTGATCTTTCTAGTTCTAAGAACCTTTGTCATCGCTAATATTATGCCAGGCAAGAAAACTATATAATCTATTCTCAGGCACTGGTTGTACCTAGCATTAAAGTGTGTGATGTGTGTTGATGAAACTGACTTATGCTTTGGGGGACTCATCTACAGGTCTGCTTTGATTGATGAAGATCATATTCATTCTTCTTTTCCATTCCTCTTCCATTTTCACCATCAGCACTGCAGGTGACATCCGATTCTTGTCCTCTAAGGCTATGAAGTACATGCCTTTGAGATTAAAAAAAATCAACATTACTTCAGCTGCCATTGTAGTTTTACTACTAAAAATATACAATCCACTATGGTCACTATTACACATCATCAGTTAGTGAAGGCCATCCATCCCGCCTCCATATTGTAAAACCTGGAAGAATAAGAGACTCAACCAAAATTACCTCAAGTGTAGAAGGCCACATAACAGCCAAAGGCTCAGTGGGCCTAAGCTGCAGATATTTTCTTGCTCTCGTTTCTTCTTTCCTCTTTCGTTTCTTCCTCTCCTGTAGTGTCTCTTTCCAGGAACCAGGTATTTGGCTCCTTCCTCCCTTCAGTGTGTGAAGCTAGAAAGCTATAAAACCTTTGATTGATCAACAGCCACACCTAGCATTAATAATGGCTGCTGATATCTTCTTTCTGCTTCTAAGAACCATCGCCATGGCCAAAATTATGCCAGGCAAGACAAGTATAGAATCAGTCATCAATCAACAGCCACACCTAGCATTAATAATGGCTGCTGATATCTTCTTTCTGCTTCTAAGAACCATCGCCATGGCCAAATTATGCCAGGCAAGAAAAGTATAAAATGTATTAGCCATTAACAGCCCCACCTAATATTAAAATGGGCCGTTGAGCTCTTCTTTCTGGTTCTAAGAACCATCGCCATGGCCAAAATTATGCCAGGCAAGACAAGTATAAAATCTGTTTATCAATCAACAGCCACACCTAGTATTAAAAAGGGCCGCTGTGATCTTTCTGGTTCTAAGAACGATCGCCATGGCCAAATTACGCCAGACAAGACAAGCATAATATCGATTATCAATCAACAGCCACACCTAGCATTAATAGCGGCTGTTGAGGTCTTCTTCCTGGTTCTAAGAACCTTCGCCATGGCCAAAATTATGCCAGGCTAGCCAAGTTTAATATCGATTGCCAATCAACAGCCACACCTAGCATTAAGAAGGGCCGCTGTGATCTTTCTGCTTCTAAGACCCATCACCATGGCCAGAATTATGCCAGGCAAGACAAGTATAAATCTGTTATCAATCAACAGCCACACCTAGCATTAATAGTGGCTGTTGATATCTTCTTTCTGTTCTAAGAACCATCGCCATGGCCAAATTACGCCAGACAAGACAAGTATAAAATCTGTTTATCAATCAACAGCCACACCTAGCATTAATAATGGCTGTTGAGGTCTTCTTTCTGGTTCTAAGAACCATCGCCATGGCCAGAATTATGCCAGGCTAGCCAAGTTTAATATCGATTGCCAATCAACAGCCACACCTAGCATTAAGAAGGGCCGCTGTGATCTTTCTAGTTCTAAGAACCTTTGTCATCGCTAATATTATGCCAGGCAAGAAAACTATATAATCTATTCTCAGGCACTGGTTGTACCTAGCATTAAAGTGTGTGATGTGTGTTGATGAAACTGACTTATGCTTTGGGGGACTCATCTACAGGTCTGCTTTGATTGATGAAGATCATATTCATTCTTCTTTTCCATTCCTCTTCCATTTTCACCATCAGCACTGCAGGTGACATCCGATTCTTGTCCTCTAAGGCTATGAAGTACATGCCTTTGAGATTAAAAAAATCAACATTACTTCAGCTGCCATTGTAGTTTTACTACTAAAAATATACAATCCACTATGGTCACTATTACACATCATCAGTTAGTGAAGGCCATCCATCCCGCCTCCATATTGTAAAACCTGGAAGAATAAGAGACTCAACCAAAATTACCTCAAGTGTAGAAGGCCACATAACAGCCAAAGGCTCAGTGGGCCTAAGCTGCAGATATTTTCTTGCTCTCGTTTCTTCTTTCCTCTTTCGTTTCTTCCTCTCCTGTAGTGTCTCTTTCCAGGAACCAGGTATTTGGCTCCTTCCTCCCTTCAGTGTGTGAAGCTAGAAAGCTATAAAACCTTTGATTGATCAACAGCCACACCTAGCATTAATAATGGCTGCTGATATCTTCTTTCTGCTTCTAAGAACCATCGCCATGGCCAAAATTATGCCAGGCAAGACAAGTATAGAATCAGTCATCAATCAACAGCCACACCTAGCATTAATAATGGCTGCTGATATCTTCTTTCTGCTTCTAAGAACCATCGCCATGGCCAAATTATGCCAGGCAAGAAAAGTATAAAATGTATTAGCCATTAACAGCCCCACCTAATATTAAAATGGGCCGTTGAGCTCTTCTTTCTGGTTCTAAGAACCATCGCCATGGCCAAAATTATGCCAGGCAAGACAAGTATAAAATCTGTTTATTAATCAACAGCCACACCTAGTATTAAAAAGGGCCGCTGTGATCTTTCTGGTTCTAAGAACGATCGCCATGGCCAAATTACGCCAGACAAGACAAGCATAATATCGATTATCAATCAACAGCCACACCTAGCATTAATAGTGGCTGTTGATATCTTCTTTCTGTTCTAAGAACCATCGCCATGGCCAAATTACGCCAGACAAGACAAGTATAAAATCTGTTTATCAATCAACAGCCACACCTAGTATTAAAAAGGGCCGCTGTGATCTTTCTGGTTCTAAGAACGATCGCCATGACCAAATTACGCCAGACGAGACAAGCATAATATCGATTATCAATCAACAGCCACACCTAGCATTAATAATGGCTGTTGAGGTCTTCTTTCTGGTTCTAAGAACCATCGCCATGGCCAGAATTATGCCAGGCTAGCCAAGTTTAATATCGATTGCCAATCAACAGCCACACCTAGCATTAAGAAGGGCCGCTGTGATCTTTCTAGTTCTAAGAACCTTTGTCATCGCTAATATTATGCCAGGCAAGAAAACTATATAATCTATTCTCAGGCACTGGTTGTACCTAGCATTAAAGTGTGTGATGTGTGTTGATGAAACTGACTTATGCTTTGGGGGACTCATCTACAGGTCTGCTTTGATTGATGAAGATCATATTCATTCTTCTTTTCCATTCCTCTTCCATTTTCACCATCAGCACTGCAGGTGACATCCGATTCTTGTCCTCTAAGGCTATGAAGTACATGCCTTTGAGATTAAAAAAATCAACATTACTTCAGCTGCCATTGTAGTTTTACTACTAAAAATATACAATCCACTATGGTCACTATTACACATCATCAGTTAGTGAAGGCCATCCATCCCGCCTCCATATTGTAAAACCTGGAAGAATAAGAGACTCAACCAAAATTACCTCAGGTGTAGAAGGCCACATAACAGCCAAAGGCTCAGTGGGCCTAAGCTGCAGATATTTTCTTGCTCTCGTTTCTTCTTTCCTCTTTCGTTTCTTCCTCTCCTGTAGTGTCTCTTTCCAGGAACCAGGTATTTGGCTCCTTCCTCCCTTCAGTGTGTGAAGCTAGAAAGCTATAAAACCTTTGATTGATCAACAGCCACACCTAGCATTAATAATGGCTGCTGATATCTTCTTTCTGCTTCTAAGAACCATCGCCATGGCCAAAATTATGCCAGGCAAGACAAGTATAGAATCAGTCATCAATCAACAGCCACACCTAGCATTAATAATGGCTGCTGATATCTTCTTTCTGCTTCTAAGAACCATCGCCATGGCCAAATTATGCCAGGCAAGAAAAGTATAAAATGTATTAGCCATTAACAGCCCCACCTAATATTAAAATGGGCCGTTGAGCTCTTCTTTCTGGTTCTAAGAACCATCGCCATGGCCAAAATTATGCCAGGCAAGACAAGTATAAAATCTGTTTATCAATCAACAGCCACACCTAGTATTAAAAAGGGCCGCTGTGATCTTTCTGGTTCTAAGAACGATCGCCATGGCCAAATTACGCCAGACAAGACAAGCATAATATCGATTATCAATCAACAGCCACACCTAGCATTAATAGCGGCTGTTGAGGTCTTCTTCCTGGTTCTAAGAACCTTCGCCATGGCCAAAATTATGCCAGGCTAGCCAAGTTTAATATCGATTGCCAATCAACAGCCACACCTAGCATTAAGAAGGGCCGCTGTGATCTTTCTCCTTCTAAGACCCATCACCATGGCCAGAATTATGCCAGGCAAGACAAGTATAAAATCTGTTTATCAATCAACAGCCACACCTAGCATTAAGAAGGGCCGCTGTGATCTTTCTGGATCTAAGAACCATCTCCATGGCCAAAATTACGCCAGACAAGACAAGTATAAAATCTGTTTATCAATCAACAGCCACACCTAGCATTAATAATGGCTGTTGAGGTCTTCTTTCTGGTTCTAAGAACCATCGCCATGGCCAGAATTATGCCAGGCTAGCCAAGTTTAATATCGATTGCCAATCAACAGCCACACCTAGCATTAAGAAGGGCCGCTGTGATCTTTCTAGTTCTAAGAACCTTTGTCATCGCTAATATTATGCCAGGCAAGAAAACTATATAATCTATTCTCAGGCACTGGTTGTACCTAGCATTAAAGTGTGTGATGTGTGTTGATGAAACTGACTTATGCTTTGGGGGACTCATCTACAGGTCTGCTTTGATTGATGAAGATCATATTCATTCTTCTTTTCCATTCCTCTTCCATTTTCACCATCAGCACTGCAGGTGACATCCGATTCTTGTCCTCTAAGGCTATGAAGTACATGCCTTTGAGATTAAAAAAATCAACATTACTTCAGCTGCCATTGTAGTTTTACTACTAAAAATATACAATCCACTATGGTCACTATTACACATCATCAGTTAGTGAAGGCCATCCATCCCGCCTCCATATTGTAAAACCTGGAAGAATAAGAGACTCAACCAAAATTACCTCAAGTGTAGAAGGCCACATAACAGCCAAAGGCTCAGTGGGCCTAAGCTGCAGATATTTTCTTGCTCTCGTTTCTTCTTTCCTCTTTCGTTTCTTCCTCTCCTGTAGTGTCTCTTTCCAGGAACCAGGTATTTGGCTCCTTCCTCCCTTCAGTGTGTGAAGCTAGAAAGCTATAAAACCTTTGATTGATCAACAGCCACACCTAGCATTAATAATGGCTGCTGATATCTTCTTTCTGCTTCTAAGAACCATCGCCATGGCCAAATTATGCCAGGCAAGAAAAGTATAAAATGTATTAGCCATTAACAGCCCCACCTAATATTAAAATGGGCCGTTGAGCTCTTCTTTCTGGTTCTAAGAACCATCGCCATAGCCAAAATTATGCCAGGCAAGACAAGTATAAAATCTGTTTATCAATCAACAGCCACACCTAGCATTAAGAAGGGCCGCTGTGATCTTTCTGGATCTAAGAACCATCTCCATGGCCAAAATTATGCCAGGCAAGACAAGTATAAAATCTGTTTATCAATCAACAGCCACACCTAGCATTAAAAAGGGCCGCTGTGATCTTTCTGGTTCTAAGAACGATCGCCATGGCCAAATTACACCAGACAAGACAAGCATAATATCGATTATCAATCAACAGCCACACCTAGCATTAATAGCGGCTGTTGAGGTCTTCTTCCTGGTTCTAAGAACCTTCGCCATGGCCAAAATTATGCCAGGCTAGCCAAGTTTAATATCGATTGCCTATCAACAGCCACACCTAGCATTAAGAAGGGCCGCTGTGATCTTTCTGGTTCTAAGAACCATCGCCATGGCCAAAATTATGCCAGACAAGATAAATATAAAATCTGTTTATCAATCAACAGCCACACGTAGCATTAAGAAAGGCCGCTGTGATCTTTCTGGATCTAAGAACCTTTGTCATCGCTAATATTATGCCAGGCAAGAAAACTATATAATCTATTCTCAGGCACTGGTTGTACCTAGCATTAAAGTGTGTGATGTGTTGTGTTGATGAAACTGACTTATGCTTTGGGGGACTCATCTACAGGTCTGCTTTGATTGATGAAGATCATATTCATTCTTCTTTTCCATTCCTCTTCCATTTTCACCATCAGCACTGCAGGTGACATCTGATTCTTGTCTTCTAAGGCTATGAAGTATATTCCTTTGAGATTAAAAAAATGAACATTACTTCAGCTGCCATTGTAGTTTTACTATTAAACATATACAATCCACTATGGTCACTATTACACATCATCAGTTAGTGAAGGCCATCCATCCCGCCTCCATATTGTAAAACTTGGAAGAATAAGAGACTCAACCAAAATTACCTCAGGTGTAGAAGGCCACATAACAGCCAAAGGCTCAGTGGGCCTAAGCTGCAGATATTTTCTTGCTCTCGTTTCTTCTTTCTTCTTTCGTTTCTTCCTCTCCTGTAGTGTCTCTTTCCAGGAACCAGGTATTTGGCTCCTTCCCCCCTCAGTGTGTGAAGCTAGAAAGCTACAAATCCTTTGATTGATCAACAGCCACACCTAGCATTAATAATGGCCGCTGATATCTTCTTTCTGCTTCTAAGAACCATCGCCGTGGCCAAAATTATGCCAGGCAAGACAAGTATAGAATCAGTCATCAATCAACAGCCACACCTAGCATTAATAATGGCTGCTGAGGTCTTTCTGGATCTAAGAACCATCACTATGGCCAAAATTATACCAGGCAAGACAAGTATAAAATCTGTTATCAGTCAACAGCCATACTAGCATTAATAATGGCCGCTGATATCTTCTTTCTGCTTCTAAGAACCATCACCATGGCCAAATTACGCCAGGCAAGAAAAGTATAAAATGTATTAGCCATCAACAGCCACACCTAGCATTAATAGTGGCCGTTGAGGTCTTCTTTCTGGTTCTAAGAACCATCTCCATGGCCAAAATTATGCCAGGCAAGACAAGTATAAAATCTGTTTATCAATCAACAGCCACACCTAGCATTAATAATGGCCGCTGATATCTTCTTTCTGGTTTTAAGAACCATTGCCATGGCCCAATTACGCCAGGTAAGAAAAGTATAAACTGTATTAGCCATCAACAGGCCCACCTAATTAAAATGGGCCATTGAGCTCTTCTTTCTGGTTCCAAGAACCATTGCCATGGCCAAATTACAGCAGACAAGACAAGCATAATATCGATTATCAATCAACAGCCACACCTAGCATTAATAGTGGCTGTTGAGGTCTTCTTTCTGGTCCTAAGAACCATCGCCATGGCCAAAATTATGCCAGGCTAGCCAAGCTTAATATCGATTGCCAATCAACAGCCACACCTAGCATTAAGAAGGGCCGCTGTGATCTTTCTGGTTCTAGGAACCTTTGTCATTGCTAATATTATGCCAGGCAAGAAAACTATATAATCTATTCTCAGGCATTGGTCACACCTAGCATTAAAGTGTGTGATGTGGTGTGTTGATGAAACTGACTTATGCTTTGGGGGGTTCGTCTCTCAGGTCCGCTTTGACTGACATGATGTTGCATTCTTGATGAAGATCATATTTCTTTCTTCTTTCCTCTTTTGTTTCTTCTCTCCTGTAGCCACCAAGTGTGTCTTTCCAGGATCAAGGTAGTTGGCTCCTTTCTCCCCTCAGTGTGTGAAGCTAGAAAGCTATAGAATCTTTGATTGATCAATAGCCTTACCTAACATTAAAAAGGGCCATTGATATTTTCTAAGAACCATTGCACTCCATCAACGTATCTGTGCTCATACATGAATATAGGTAGGCTAAGAATGTGAAGGAAGAAGACTAGAGAGCCAAATGGGATGTCTTCCAGTTTGAGTCTCACTAAGGGGAGCCCCAAGGAAATGGGAGAGACTTCCAGCTGAGCGCTGTTGACTCCTCCAGTGTGATTCTTCCTCAATGCCAACTCAGGGACTGAAAGAGTCACCCACTGCAACCCCAGAGAGGACTTCCAGTGTGAGACTCAGAGTGGCACTCAGGGACTGAATGAGCCTGTAAGATGATCCGCTGCCTTCTCATTCAGTCCTTGAGCTGACAACTGTGAGTCTCACACTGGAAGTCCTCTCTGGGGTTGCACTGGGGACTCTTTCAGCCCCTGAATTGGCACTGAGGAAGAATCACACTGGAGGAGTCAACAGCACTCAGATGGAAGTCTCCTCCAGCCCCTGAGGTCCCCTCAGTGAGACCCAACCTAGAAGAGAACCCATTTGGCTCACTATCATCAGCCATCCGCAGATGCAACCGACCCCTCCACACAGGATGGAGGTCATTCCAAGGCACCTAGTTGTAGAGGTCCTTCAATCTCTAAGTCTCAACTCTGTGACACCGACACTGAATGAGCCTGGTTGTTGATCCGCTGCCTTCTCATTCAGTGTGAGTTTCACAAAGTGGTAACTCAGAGACGGAAAGAAGTATAAAATCTATTATCAATCAACAGCCACACCTAGCATTAAAATGGGTTGCTGAGTTCTTCTTTCTGGTTCTAAGAACCATTGCCATGGCCAAAATTACGCCAGGCCAAATATATATATAAAATCTATTATCAATCAACAGCCGCACCTAGCATTAAAATGGGCTGCTGAGTTTTTCTTTCTCGTTCTAAGAACCATCGCCATGGCCAAAATTACGCCAGGCAAAAAAAAAGAGTATAAAATCTATTATCAATCAACAGCCACATCTAGCATTAAAATGGGCTGCTGAGTTCTTCTTTCTGGTTCTAAGAACCATCGCCATGGCCAAAATTATGCCAGTCCCAAAAAATATATATATAAAATCTATTATCAATCAACAGCCACACCTAGCATTAAAATGGGCTGCTGAGTTCTTCTTTCTGGTTCTAAGAACCATCGCCATGGCCAAAATTACGCCAGGCAAAAAAAAAAGAGTATAAAATCTATTATCAATCAACAGCCACATCTAGCATTAAAATGGGCTGCTGAGTTCTTCTTTCTGGTTCTAAGAACCATCGCCATGGCCAAAATTATGCCAGTCCCAAAAAATATATATATAAAATCTATTATCAATCAACAGCCACACCTAGCATTAAAATGGGCTGCTGAGTTCTTCTTTCTGGTTCTAAGAACCATCGCCATGGCCAAAATTACGCCAGGCAAAAAAAAAAGAGTATAAAATCTATTATCAATCAACAGCCACATCTAGCATTAAAATGGGCTGCTGAGTTCTTCTTTCTGGTTCTAAGAACCATCGCCATGGCCAAAATTATGCCAGGCCCAAAATATATAAATATAAAATCTATTATCAATCAATAGCCACACCTAGCATTAAAATGGGCTGCTGAGTTCTTCTTTCTGGTTCTAAGAACCATGGCCATGGCCAAAATTATGCCGGGCAAAAAAAACTATAAAATCTGTTCTCAGGCATTGGCCGGATCTAGCATTAATGTATGTTGTGTGACGTGTTAATGAAACTGTCTTATGCTTTGGGGGATTCTTCTAAAAGTCCGTTTTGATATACTTGGTGAAATAGCATTCTTGATAAATATCTTCATTTATGTTTTCCATTCATTCCTGTTCCATTTTCACTGTCAATACTGTAAGCTGACAAATGAGTTTTCTGTCTTCTAAGATGATGATGCCTTTGAGATTAAAAATAAATCAATATTAGTTTAGCTGCCATTGGAGTTTTATTCCTAAGAATACACAATACACTGTTGTTACTATTACCTCAGACACAGGGTTTAGCTTGCTCTCTAGGAACAATGGAACACCAATTAGAGGACGACTATCCTGAAGTTGAAACTCAAGTACTTTGGCCACCTAATGAGAAGGAAGGACTCACTGGAGAAGAGCCTAATGCTGGGAAAGATCGAGGGCAATAGAAGAAGGGGATGACAGAGAAGGAGGTGGCTGAATGGACTCACTGAAGCAGTAGGCGTGAGCTTAAATGGACTCCAGAAGATGGTAGAGGACAGGAAAACCTGGAGGAACGTTGTCCATGGGGTCGCGATGGGTCGGACACGACTTCGCAATTAACAACAATAACATCTACCCCCTCCATATTCTAACATTTTGAAGAATAAGAGTCTTAACTAAAATTACCTCAGGGTGTAGAAGGACACATTGCAACCAAAGGTGAAGAGGGCTTTTCTTGCTCTCTTGTTTCTTCTTTTTTTCTTCTTTCTCTTGTATCTTCATCTGCTGTGCCCAGCAAATGTCTCTTTTGAGGAACAAGACATTTTGCTCATTCCTCTCCTAGGTCTATGAAGCTAGAAAGCTAGAAAGTCTTTTATCGATCAACAGCCATACCTAGCATTAAAATGGGCTGCTGAGTTCTTCTTTCTGGTTCTAAGAACCATCGCCATGGCCAAAATTACGCCAGGCAAAAAAAAAAGAGTATAAAATCTATTATCAATCAACAGCCACATCTAGCATTAAAATGGGCTGCTGAGTTCTTCTCTCTGGTTCTAAGAACCATCACCATGGCCAAAATTACGCCAGGCAAAAAAAAAAAAGTATAAAATCTATTATCAATCAACAGCCACACCTAGCATTAAAATGGGCTGCTGAGTTTTTCTTTCTGGTTCTAAGAACCATCGCCATGGCCAAAATTACGCCAGGCAATATATATAAAAAATCTATTATCAATCAACAGCCACACCTAGCATTAAAATGGGCTGCTGAGTTCTTTCTGGTTCTAAGAACCATCGCCATGGCCAAAATTATGCCAGGCAAAAAAAAAGAGTATAAAATCTGTTTATCAATCAACAGCCACACCTAGCATTAAAATGGGCTGCTGAGTTTTTTTTTTCTGGTTCTAACAACCATCGCCATGGCCAAAATTATGCCAGGCCCAAAAAATATATATAAAAAATCTATTATCAATCAACAACCACACCTAGCATTAAAATGGGCTGCTGAGTTCTTCTCTCTGGTTCTAAGAACCATCGCCATGGCCAAAATTACGCCAGGCAAAAAAAAAAAAAAAGTATAAAATCTGTTTATCAATCAACAGCCACACCTAGCATTAAAATGGGCTGCTGAGTTTTTCTTTCTGGTTCTAACAACCATCGCCATGGCCAAAATTATGCCAGGCCAAAAAATATATATATATAAAATCTATTATCAATTAACAGCCACACCTAGCATTAAAATGGGCTGCTGAGTTCTTCTTTCTGGTTCTAAGAACCATCGCCATGGCCAAAATTACGCCAGGCAAAAAAAAAAAAAGTATAAAATCTGTTTATCAATCAACAGCCACACCTAGCATTAAAATGGGCTGCTGAGTTTTTTTTTTTCTGGTTCTAACAACCATCGCCATGGCCAAAATTATGCCAGGCCCAAAAAATATATATATAAAATCTATTATCAATCAACAGCCACACCTAGCATTAAAATGGGCTGCTGAGTTCTTTCTGGTTCTAAGAACCATCGCCATGGCCAAAATTACGCCAGGCAAAATATATATATATATATATAATCTATTATCAATCAACAGCCACACCTAGCATTAAAATGGGCTGCTGAGTTCTTTCTGGTTCTAAGAACCATCGCCATGGCTAAAATTATGCCAGGCAAAAAAAAAAAGAGTATAAAATCTGTTTATCAATCAACAGCCACACCTAGCATTAAAATGGGCTGCTGAGTTTTTCTTTCTGGTTCTAACAACCATCGCCATGGCTAAAATTATGCCAGGCAAAAAAAAAAGAGTATAAAATCTATTATCAATCAACAGCCACACCTAGCATTAAAATGGGCTGCTGAGTTCTTCTCTCTGGTTCTAAGAACCATTGCCATGGCTAAAATTATACCAGGCCAGAAAACTATATAATCTATTATGAATGAGCAGCCACACCTAGCATTAAAATGGACTGCTCAGTTCTTCTTTTTGGTTCTGAGAACCATCGCCAGGGCCAAAATTATGCCAGGCAAAAAAAACCCTATAAAATCTACTATCAATCAACAGCCACACCTACCATTAAAAATGGGCTGCTGAGTTCTTCTTTCTGGTTCCAAGAACCATCGCCATGGCCAAAATTATGCCAGGTCAAATAAAGTATAAAATCTATTATCAATCAATGGCCATATCTAGCATTAAAATGGACTACTGGGTCCTTTCTGGTTCTAAGAACCATCGCCATGGCCAAAATTATGCCATGGCAAAAAAAAAAAAAGACCCCACTATAAAATCTATTATCAATTAACAGCCACACCTAGGAGTAAAATGGGCCATTGAGGTCTCCTTTCTGGTTCTAAGAACCATTGCCATTGTTAAAATTAAACCTGGAAATAAAGGTTTAAAATCTGTTATCAGTCATAGTAGCAACTAGCAGTCAGAATACATGATGAAACTCTTCTCTTTCATTACATATTGACCAACTTCATTATAGTTTCAATTGGGAAACTGAGCATCGTAGACCAAACCATGTCAAACGCTAGGAAATTTCCAAAAGCCAGGCCATCAGTAGATTAGCCATCAGTAGACACATAGACATAAGCAATATCTAAATGTCCACAAGAAACAATCAACAAGCCCAAAAGGAAACAAAAGAACCAAAACACCACCTCACTAGCAATAGGCATAGTCAGGGGTAGGCAACCTTGTCTTTTGTTCTTCTTTGGCATTTCCTTCATTGAACTATTTTTCATTTCTTCATTGTTGGTCTGATGTTCATCTATGCCAGGGACAGGCAATCTTGTCTCTTTTATGACTTGTGGACTTCAACTCCCAGAATTCCTGAGTCAACCATGCATGGCTGACTCAGGAATTCTGGGAGTTGAAGTCCACAAGTCATAAAAGAGACAAGGTTGCCTACCCCTGGCATAGATGAACATGAGAAATGAACAATAGTTCTATCAAGAAAATGCCAAAGAACAAAAAATAGCCCAACAAAAGATCTCTGAGATCACTTCCTCCAATACTCAAGTGACAAGCCACTTGAACATAAGTTGACAGAAAGCGCACTCCCTCCTAGCACTGCTAGTGGGAATGAAACATCCACAAGAAAACCACCAAACTCAGAGAGCATCTAGGACAGTGATGGC